GCATCTTATATGCCGGAGCGTCTTATATGCCGAAAAATACGGTAAGTACTGATATAATATGTTAACAGTTGTTACTACCTGTTACCAATCTGGTCACTGCATTTTGAACTATAGTTTCTGGATCATTTTCAAGGGAAGCTCCATAAAATAATCTAATCTGGTTGCTATTAGAACATGAATTATTTCTTCACTCTCCAAGAAGGAGCAAGTTGACATATCAGACAAAGATGTTAAAAGAAAAATGTGATCTACCTACAGTCTAACAGCAGATCAGGCAACACTGCTAGACTGAAAAGTGTTCCTTCAGAAAGAGCCTTATCCAAGCACAACACTGAACCATGCCACTGGACTTTAAAGACTATTATGTTAATAGCACGTCTGTCTTATCTGGACTGATCTTTATTTTATTAACCTTCATCTACCTAATGACCTATTCCAGACAACTGTTCCATGTGTCCATGACACACCTAGATCTAGTGCAGGCCCTCAGGAGGATGTTATGTGGTCATGGCTACATGTTGGACACGGCTGATCTGAAGTAAAACAAAGCCAAAAACATATTGATGACATTTCAAATCTCATCTCCCAGCAGTTTCATATAGATATTGAACAGCATGGAGGGCAGGTCATAGGATAACTGTAGAATATAATATCATAACTGTCATGGTACCTAATCACAGTCTTCCAGCCCCACCATGAAAAAGTGACCTGACAAAAAACTCTCTGAACTCTGATGCCAGACACCCTGTCCAGAAAGAACTGGTTTATGTTCTTCAAGGATCTCTCCACAGCACACTCCAGAGAATGTCTGGTATAGGGAAACTACAGGACAATCAAGCCAAGTGAGAAATCAGACTAAAATGTGATGAAAAAAGACAGTGCCATCCAGGAAAGCAAAATGGATCACATTTTGCAAAATGAATTAATTATTTCCTGCCATCACTATAGCTAAAACTAAATTTTTACATGGTCTCTAGGGAATGTTTGTTCAAAATATACGTTTTCTTAAATATATCTGCATTCTTGCCAGCCCAATTCCTTCACTGCCATGAAATCTACAGAAAACCAAGAAGCCCACTGGGAGAAGATGCCTAAGAATATTTGTGTCACTTATCTATGTGTAAAAGCAGAAAAGTCAGCAGTGACAGTTGGAAAAGCTACAGAATAGATAAGAACCAATAGATGAACCTCTACTCCTGCAGAAGCGTACAGCCAGCAATTGCCTAAATCTTACTAAGATATGATCCCACCATGGCAAAACAATGAGTAGTTGATATTATAAGCAATTTTTCATCTTTCTATTGATACGTTCTTGGACACTTGAGTTGTTGGTGTTAGTGGCTGAGCAATCACAATGACAAAAAACTGAATGATGTTTAAAGCTTTAGAGAGTGTTCGTATTTAGCCCCTTCCAAAAAAAGCCATACCGCAATTTGAGGGAAAAGGCTCTAATAGAGTTCAGAAACATGGAAAATGTGCAGAAACATGGAAAATTCAGTTTTTTAGAGCTAAAATATATTTTAAAAATTATTATAATGTAATTTTGGAGTGGTGACACATTTGGGTATGCTGGCATGCAGGACATTTGTCATCACCACCACAGATGACAACTAGATGGAACAAAAGTTGGCATCTGCCACAAAGGCCACTACTTTTGCTGATTTGTTCAGACCTTTTCATAGGTGGACCTTTTCTTTTAGAGATTTCCATAATTAGCTCAATGCTCTAGAAGGCTCAGGCATTAAGTATCAAGATACTCTAGATACTCTAGATGCACCAATGGCTAGGGAAGAAATTTCAAGACCCTTTTCTATGAGAAATTCATTATTTTGTCATCTGGCTTTGGGGGCAGAGGGAATATAGTCCCAGTCCTAAGGGGCCACTACTGCCTCTGATATTAAGGCAGCCACTGAGACATTCAACTTGGGAAGATTTTATTTGGTCACTCCCAAAATGGTGTAAAAATCACTTTGTAAAGACATTTCTAGGTCCAATCAGCTCAGACTGCTGTTATTCATTCCCAATAGAGAGAGAACACTACTGCTCCCATTTGCTTGACTTCTGGGAACACAATATAGACCATCCAGTGAGACGGGCTGTTAATATTTGCCCAAGGGTTAGATTCAGATTTTTAAGACCTTGTTAAAGAAAACTGGGAAGTCCCTAGCAGGGAAATAAACTAGGGGACTTATCTTTGCTTTGGAAGGCATTATTAGAAGAATGTTTCACTTCCTCCTTGTGTGGCAGGAATGAGAAGATAAACCCTCTCCAAGAGGAGTATGAGATCAAAAATGTTTGCCTTAGCATAACTGGTTCATCCTGGTCACAGTGTTTCCCATCCTCACTGGAAATGATACATAACTTTTTCGTCCTCTTACCACCTTCAGCTGAAGAATCAGGAACTGAAATAGTTACTCAGTCCAATTCAATCCCTGCAAAAAGCAGAAGCACTCCAACATGGTTTTGTTATCTGGCTCACCGCTTAGTCTGGCATCCAGTCTTGTGGGAGGCTACTCTCCTCTTCATCAACTTTTCCACTGCATTGGCATGAATTATTGGTCGAACTGGGTGACGCTTGTACGTCCCAGGATACTTCTTTTCCACAGCTTGTTCCCGCCTTCATGTAAAATAAAAATTAATCCCTAAACTTATTTATTTATTTCAAGGATTTATATCCCGCCTTTCTCCCACAATGGGATTCAAGGCAGGTTACAATAATTTAAAAAGACAGAAGTAAAATTCTAAAAGTAAAAGAAAGTTACTGGAATTTTTACTCCAGGTATGTGCCAGTTAGTCCATCAATTTCCCAAACTTTTATCTACATGTCACGCTAAGTGCTCATCTCAGTATTGGGAAAGACAAACTACCGTATTTTTCGGCATATAAGACGCACCCAATTTTAACGGAGGAAAATCTAGGAAAAAAAAGATTTTTAACCAAATACAGTCGGAGGACACCTCCGACCCAGGCATCCGCCTAAGGAAAGCAATGAGGCTTTCTTAGAGCGATCCTGGGGTCGGAGTATGCCTCCCTCTCCAGGGTTGGC